GTTTGTTTGTTTGTTTGTTTGTTTGTTTGTTTGTTTGTTTGTTTGTTTGTTTGTTTGTTTGTTTGTTTGTTTGTTTGTTTGTTTGTTTGTTTGTTTGTTTGTTTGTTTGTTTGTTTGTTGGGGTGTTGGGGTGTTTGTTTGTTTGTATGCTTGTTTGTTTGTTTGAAGTGTTCACATTTTCCACTTGTTTATTTTTCCTTGGCCTGTGGCATCAGTATCATTTCTTTGTCTTTTCATTTCTTTCTACTTGATTTACATGCGCGTAATTGAGGTTTATTTCCCTTACCTGTATACCCCATACTCCAGGTAAGCCATTTATCAATCTCTATGCCTACATGTGCATCTGCATGTACACTCTAATGTACATGTACACGTACATGTGTACATGTATGTCTTGGAAGTTACTGTTAGTCATATCATAATCTTCTAGCACATGTACTTACATGTAATAATTTGTTTGTTAGTTTGATTTTTAAGAAGATATATTGTGAGGCATTTTGAACTTACGTGGCATGAAACAATTTTTTTGATCACAAGAGTACAAATCAAAACGGTACCACTGTGGACTTGTACACAACACAGTACATGTGTACATACGCAGGCTACACAACTCACAGAAAATACATGTACCGGCACAATACATGTAGATGTACACGTACATTGTACATACATCTACATGTACATGTACATGTACTCATGGGTACAATATTATTAGTCAGCCAAAACAATTGCTTGGATATGTTTCATCACTCCCTTGCTGTACCATGCTTTGCTGCAAGTATGATACACATGTATGTGTACATGTATAAAGCTTTTCTCTTGGAAAAATGCAAACCAAATGTTTCACAAAAAAGCATTTCAAATATGAAAGCCACATCCAAATAAGACTCCCACATGCAAAGTTGTAAGCAATTTTGGAAATTTACACGTACCGGTACAAGTACAGTTTATGTAACAAATGTGAGAATTGGAGGAATGTTTTGGAGGGAAGAATGAAAATAAAATGTTTTACCTGCAGTGTATCCACACACCACATTGCTTAAGTGATCAATTTGCTCTACATGTATTGGTAAAATGCTTGCAACATTCGCAACACACTGTTCAGCATTAGTTCTGCACTCTATACCATTTTTTCTTATGATTAGATAAAGAAGGAGTACGTACATGTATGTAAATCCTACCCCACACTAAGATGGCCACATCAAACTAGTATTGTCTTGATGTTTGAAATATGGTAGTGTGTTGCATGCTGTACGCTGTATTCGTTGCAATTATCTAAAATCACTTACACGCATCTAAAATTAACCTAAACTAAAATTTCCATGCTGAGACCTCCCACTTTATTTCTTCATTTCATTTTTTAGGCTTGCATGTACATGCACCATTGTCAGATTATACTGTATAAAGCAGATGTCCGTTTCTACGCACACAAAAATTTTTGCACTGATGTGCACATGTACATGTACTGTATGCACATGTTCAGTGACTGTCAGTGAATTTGCCGCATGAAGTCATGTGGAAGTAACAAAAACAGGTCTGGGCAAATGTTTGTGAAGGAACACGGAAGAAATATTCTCTCCTGACCATGCCTCAAAGAGCAAGATCATTATGCGAGGGGGGGAAAAAACAGCAGGGTATCCATCCACGCTGCACACTGAACGCGTTCAACAGGAATCCATTACGCGACCATACAGTCTTGTACATGTAATTGGGCGATGCGTTCACAGATCAAGAGCCAATAATGTGAGTTAATACAATATTGACAAGGGGAGGAGGGGAGAGGTGAAGACAAGGAAGTTATACTCGACCTTTGTTGGGACTCAAATATACAGGTCTGGACGCAGGTTTAAAAAATGAAAGACAGGTGTGCTGTAAGGTAAAAACTAGAGTGCTAACCGAACATGTACCTGTATATAATCCCCATCTTGGACATCACACTCTGTGCACTGCCAAGCCCCAGGGCAATTTAGATCACTCCTGCAAAACACACACACAAGGTGAGGGCTTGGGATGCAAATCAGTCTGGTTGTCATGACAACCGAACAGAGGTATACTCTCAAGGAACAATGATTTTGAACACAGGGCCTTATGTGAACCCTGGGGATAGGACACACACATACACTGTACACATACTAGAATCTTTTTTTCTTCCCTCCCACAGAATATAAGGATGGGTTACTATGGTGATGGAATGTAAGGCACATATCTGACCCTGCCGGCACACACAAAGCTTTAGCATTTCCTCGTCCCTAGTAACCAAGACAAGGGCCCGGTGATGACGACGATGACTTCAGGTTGAACAGGGTAACAACCTCCCGGGGGAGTCACAGACACCGTGCAAAGATTTTTCATCAGCGCGTGATGAAGCGATAACGCAATTGGCCTGAGTTTGATGAGGCAATCATCGTACAGTGGCCGCACATGAATTTGCAGTGACACTGATCAATCAATTATCTACTGAACAGGAAAACTAACAACTTAAATGGGGGTAATCATGGCCTGGCTAGACAAGCTATGAAAATGTCTACGGTGCAGGCACACGTGTACAAAATGTATGCGTATGTATACATGTACATGTAGCTCAACAAGCATGAAAGCACACTTGATTGCGTACCGGTGTGTACATGCCCACATGTTTGGAAAATAATGTGCATGCTTTGTGCATACATGTACATGTAGCAGTGGAAGTACAACTGTACATGTACATGACAGAAAAGTGGCTGAAAAATCAAGTTCATAGATCACATCAACCCAGATAGTGCACCCTCTTTTTTATTCGATATTCATGAACCCCTCCACGGAATGGCGACGCTCAGCGATTTTTCTCTTCGGAAAAAATTTTCTCAAAAGAAAATCTGTCATTCTGAATAAAGTTAGCAAAAAAATAACGTTCGAGACATAAAATAAGATTCATGATGAAAATCAAATGTTCAGAGTTGTTAATTTTAATGTTATTTTCAGCAGGGTTATCTCCAAAATAACCAGCAAAATGAAAATCGCGCATGGAATTTTCCAGCACTACATGTGACAGCATTTTTGGCATTCTAAAACGTTATGTAGTTTCTGTCAAAATTATCGAATGTGATCAAAATTCTGCCAAATATAACGTTCGCAACGAACTCATTATAAATTTCTGATGCAGCCAAACTTAGAGATAATTTTTGGTGGTCGAAATATACAAGACCTGGCGAATATGTTGGTATACTGAGAGTGATCATAAACGGTAAGAGAATGAAGAGAGCCAAACTTTTCTCATCATAATAATTTCTCATCATAATAATTTTTGGTGGTCGAAATATACAAGACCTGGCAAATATGTTGGTATACTGAGAGTGATCATAAACGGTAAGAGAATGAAGAGAGCCAAACTTTTCTCATCATTTTCCGTCAATTTTGTGCTCTTTTTTCGTGGCTTATATTTTTTAAAAGTTATTTCTTAGGTGCTTTAAAATACATCAGTCAAAAAATATACTGAATTCTCCTTTTTGTTGAGAGAAGTTTTAAAATCAAGTCCTCTGTTGTAAACACTTTGACGTAAAACTTTAAGTGAATTCAACTCCATTTGATTTGCACTGGTAGCCAACCAAATGTCCACCATAAGTACATATTGAGCCTAATTATCCCCATATAATCATTTTTTATAAATCTGAAGGTGCTAATTTGTATTTTACATGATCAAAGTCACTCTTTTAGAAGCTTTGAAAAAATGACAGCCGAGGTTGCATTTTGGTCCATTTTATGGAGAACATGCCATGTACAATGTATTTCCAAATGCTCATACATGTACATGTACACTATAATGTACATGTATGTACAATGTACACAGTGTACAATAACATGATGGATATTAGTTTCTGCTTGGTCATGTTACTATTGTCTACCGGTACGTCAGTGGCCACCACTATTCTGTGGTGTGCTACCGGTATTTGACAAAACACACAACAAAATCTGTCCCCACAAAGCAATAAAACCCCCCAATTGAACAAAAATTGAAAATAAAACACTGAGCAAAAGACAGGGGTAGGAGGGTAACTCTGCCTTGCCTCTAGCGACATTTTGCCCTTTTTCAAAAAAAGAAAGTGTCAAGTGAATAAAAAATAAAATTATCAATTCACCCCCAAACCAAAGCAGTTCAATCAATCAATAGAAATCAATTATTAATCTTATGTCTAAATCACGAGAGTGAACAAGTTTTTTCTTTCCATTTTTGAGAAAACTGGTTCGGTACATGACGTGGTGTTTTTTTTTATGGACACACCGGTCCAAAGCTGTCAGCAAAAACCCAGTGGCTTTCAAGACGTCAAAGTGAACAAACTGTTTTGATTTCTTGATTGTTCTGATTTCTGATTGTTCTCATACTTTCCATATGATTGTTCTGATTTCTAGATACCGAGTAGTTAATTTATTACTGTTCATCTGGGCACACAGTATTCCTCACTGTCAATACTTGGCCATGCAATTTTGTAATAATCAATGTGGCAGGGATGGCTCATCAGTACACATACATGTACATGTGTAATATACAACGCAATGTCAAACAGTCCAAACTTTCACTGCATGCTATATACATATACATGTACCAGTATGTACATGTGTTGCATAACTGGTATGGAAAATCAAAGCAGTTTTTCATCCCATTGCTACCCTACATGTAAATGTGGGTAATTCCAGAAACTAGGGGTCCATTTTTGTGTGTGTCCCTGTCATATTCGACATACATACATGATTTTGTAAGTTCAGAACACATTTTCTAATTTCTAAGAGTGATGAATTAATAGAAATTACCTGCCAAACAAATACTAATAATTTGAAATCAATCCTAGTGATATTTTCAAGTTATATATTAAAGGTTAGATGTACCGGTAACAAGGACAAAAAAATGTCACACTTTTGGACCCCTAATTTCTAGAATTACCGGTACCCATGTACGAGTTACATGTACATGTACATCTATCTCAGAGTGACATGGTATGAGATACATGTGACTCATATGTATACATGTACATGTATGTAACTGGCATTGTACCGTAGCATAATCAACTCCATGCCATTGCCAGCTACATTGTACAAGATACATGTCTCTCACAAATAGTTTTTTTTAATCATGTAATTAAAAATGAATGTCAAACATACAGACACCAAAAAAGTACCTTTTAAGTATGCGCACATGCTTACAACTCTTGGCAAATGGGAACGTCCTGTTAAATTATACACGGCACTCAACGTTTTAAATCCTTTGTTAACGACTTACATTTACATGTACGCGTGCAAAGGCCTTTCAAAATGTACATGTAGCCACTTCATCCAACAGCCATTGGTATGCACACATGAAACTTTTTACATCAGGTCCAACTTTACGGGTAAATTATCCCACAACTTCTGAGAAAGGGTCATATGTACATGTACCAGTATACAGCATACAGTATGTACTACAATGTATGTGTATTTGTTAAAACTTAGCTTTTGAATTTAATCCACACTTGAAAATGTGTGTTGAGAGACTGATTTACATGTACATGTATGTTAATAGAAACATGCCTCATGATGCTAATTTGGAGTACAATTTACATGTACATGTGCCTGAACACTCCAGACAGTGATAAATTATGAAAGCCGACAAGCAGGCCCGACAAGTCAATTTGTGGAATTGTGTATTCCATCCTGTATCTAATCAAGTTTGATCTCTTCAGCCTTCATCCTCCTTTGCCATTCAAAATCCAATTTCAGGTGTCCTCCCCCCTCCCTTGCTGTTTGGGCCCCCTGGGGTAGAAATGGTGCTACTGGTACCGATGGGACAGTCTGTTGTATCTGGAGAGGCAGGCATCATCTGTAACATTTCCCTGGCCTTGAGGGGTTAGTATTCATGTAGCAATAAGGTCAGGTGGACTACTGTACCTTCCCCTGCACATTAAGTGTTGATGGTTTGATTCCTGCTTGGGCACCGTGCAAAATATGGATGTGTTTGTAACAGGTGAAATGACTGGGAAAATTTTAGGAAAAGGATGATGTCCATGTGCATGCATTTCAGGTGTACATGTAGTCTTGATTCAGGCCAGAAAACAGTGCCACTACGAAAATAGGGAAACCACAATAAGTGTGTAGAAGTGGGAGCACAGCACAACTTCTACAATTAATGCTTGAATTTGGTTTCAGTAACACTTAACTCCTCCAAACTTTTGCCAGAAAAGAACCTGAATCCTTTGTTGTGTAGTTACCCTTGAAGTGCTTGATGTACATGTACACATGTACCTGTATGTACTCAAACAAAACAACACTGAAACTGATTGGGAGCGGTGAATGTACATGTACTTACCGTGATATAGCGAGATCGGCCTTCTGTCTGGCAATATTAGCTGCTTGATTGGCTGCCTCTACTGCTCGCTCTACTCGGTCGCTAATCCTCTTCGATCCAATCACAAACAGTTTCTTCTTACCCGAGGCCACCAGTATATTGTTCTTCCATTTACCTTCTTCTTTGTGCCCGTCTGGGTAGGTTAGACAGCCGTATCCGTGCCGCTTGTTTTGGTGCCACTCCCCCGCGTACTGGAAGTTATCAGATCGCTGGCTGATCCCAACCCCGGAACGCTTGTCCTGTTTCCACTCCCCCAAGAAAACCTCAGTGATGTCTCCAGTGGCCTCCTCCTCCATCAGGTGACTGGGATGGCTGAAGTCACTCTCCATGACAGAGGACTGCAGTGAGCTGGAGCTCATACGGCTCTCGCTCTCCGTGCTCTTCAGCGAGTCTTGGTGATTGAGCTTGGGGCGAAAGGAGGCCAGACTCCCTCCGGCGCTGTCTGAGCTGTCTTTGTGGCCCCCCGACCCGTTCTTATCGCGCTTGCCCCGTTTGGTTCTCAGCCCGATCAGGGCTTTGCTCATTCGGGTGGCGTCACCACGCTTCATGGTCCCGCTCCTGCTCTCTGTGTCTGTTGTCCCGTCGTCCGAGACATCCAGGACGAAACCCCCTCGCTGGCCAAAGTTGTCTGGGACGGAGGCAATGGACCCATTCTCATGTTCACTCCGAAGCGACGTGAGGGACGTGCGGAGGGACGGTCGTACGATTGACGCCATTCCAAAAGGCACGCTGTTACGGATCCCACAACCATGGCGCATTCCACCAACCCACTGGCCCTGATAAATACCTAAAATAGAAAGACCCACAAAACATTTTCAAAACTCTTAGACAGTGTTCAAAAGTTTCATAAATTTCCCAAATCAATAATGTACACATGCTCAGAAAATTACATTATCAAATATAAAAAGCCTGACATGCTTTGAAGGCTGCACATCTAATCCTCTTTATTACAGGGTATTATTAATGTTTCACTGATGCATCACGTAACTATGATTTTGTATACACACAGAGGACCTGACTACATGTACTAGTACATGTAAATGCAGTACTGACTACATGTACATGTAGTTTGTTGAAGCGGGTCATGTGTGATGCCCTGACTTGGCATGTGCTATGACTCTACGGCACTGCATTTGCAAATAACATGAACAATGCTATGGTAATACATGTACATGTAAATGTATTATTTACTATTTTGTACAAACGACTCTCCAGAGTCGGGATTTGCGGTGTCCCACTTTAACACATTTATGTGCATGTGCTTTGTGAAAAGTGACTGTGGTATTTGTCATTTTCAGAAAGTTGAGATTCTTAGGAAAAACTAAAGCCCACGCAGGATCAGTTTTTTTACGAAGTGCATGTACTAGGATAGTATCGCTCACAAGAGGTATTTCTCTTCTTCAGGTCATGATCTATCATTCGGAGAATTGAGATGACATCTAGCACTGTACATGTACTACAATTTATGGTATGCATGAATTTCTGGCAAGAACCACTGCACAGGTGAACTTTTGTGAAAAGAATTTAAAATTACATTCACATTTCACAAGGTACATGTACATATACACGTGCATGTCTGAAGAATTGCTTTTACATGTACATTTTGTGAAATGAGTATGAATTCCCCGTGACCCATTCCCATTTACTGTTCAACTGCAATGTACTCATGCTGTACAGGTTATCTTACATGTAGTTAATCTGAGAAAATTGAGATTGTTCCGACTTCTGCGGCTACCCAGCTTTCGAAGGTTCAATTCCCAATGTACACGAGTCAATGCAGTACTAATCCCATGATTATAATACAACTAGAGTTGCTCAGTTTTAATTCTTTTTCTCTACATGTGTGTACATGTATTTTCGAAAAGCTGCGACTTGAATTCAATACTTGTGACCATGGTGACAATGGACTCTGTTTGTCAAAGAGGACAAAATGTACACTGCACAACTTATACTGGTAACAAGGGACCGACTTTTTCCCAACTCCCGGGATAAGGCCCGAGTAAACTTGTGAGGTTTTTTTCACAAGCTCTCGGACAAGCACTAAGCACACAGTGCTTATTAATAAACGTTGGGTAAGAGCAAAACCCGTAATATAAATTAACATCTCCCCAACACAAAAACACATCTTGAAAATTCCTGTAGTTTGCGGTACCCGCTGCTTCACTTGACTTGGACCGGCCAGCCGACCCCGAAAAGCTCGGTGGTCGAGTGGTTAAGACATCATAACAAGGGACCGACTTTTTTCCAACTCCCCGGGATAAGAACCGAGTAAGCCTGTGAGATTTTTTTCACAAGATCTCGGACAAGCACTGAGCATACAGTGCTTATTAATATACGTTGGGTAAGGGCAAAACCCGTTATATAAATTAACATCTCCCCAACGCAAAATTACATCTTGAAAATACATGTAGTTTGTGGTACCCGCTGTTTCACTTAACTTCGACCGGCCAGCCGACCCCAGCAAGCTCGGTGGTCGAGTAGTTAAGACATCTGCACTAGTAAGCAGGTCGTGGGTTCGAATCCCACCCGAGTAAGCTTGTGAGGTTTTTTCGCAAGCTCTCGGACAAGCACTGAGCATAGAGTGCTTTTTAATATACGTTGGGCAAGGGCAAAACCCAAAATATAATTTTATATCTCCCCAACGCAAACAAAATACATCTTGAAAAGTTTTTCCAAGAGGTATACATGTATTGACTATTCACCATATTGAATCCTGTATGAATACTGATCTGTTTAAAAAGACAAAACAAGTTATTCACACATGTATACATGAACATGTATCTGTCAGGGACATCGTTGAATGTTTACGTGCAAAATTTCAATCATGTGACAAATGGACTTTGTGGGGGTTATTTGTTTCAAGTACGCAGCCTGCATCTGCAAGATGCAATTACGAGGATTTAAACCTTGATTTCAGAATTCACTGCTTCATTATAAACCTCACTGCATGTAAGCCAAACATGCAGACACAGCACTGAGGCAAATCCTTCATGGTTCCTCCAAGGGGGGTCTGGCCAGATGGAGACAGAGAGAGAGCAACATAACAGTGAGAGAGCTCCCAACCACCAAATGTCAAAAGTGACCCTGTGGGGGACGTGCCCTGGGAGGACAAGCCAAGCTTTTTGCACTGGGGCTGCTCAGAATCAATCTGCCCTGACTGGAAACATATGCTCATAATACCAAGGAAGATTATGGGGGAGAGAGAGAGTGAAATGGTGGCCAGGGGGGATGGAATGACACAAGGAAAAAGGTGCAGGCTATGAGATGCAATTCTGATGCACCGTTAAAAAATGCATGCACCTATATGTGCGCATGAGGAATCTCATACATGCACATAGAATCTTCAAGCAAACAAATACATGTACTGACATGCAACCATTAAGTAAAGCTGGAATTTTATCTACTGGTATTAGCATACACATGTTTATGTTAATGTATGAAACTTGCGCAAAATGTGATGCATGTTTGAATGACAAACCATAATGTTCAGTGCTGATGAACAGATCATTGCCTCGGCCATGTTTGTTGCCAAGATAAACTCAAAGTTACACATTATGTCAATGTTATCGACAGCTGAAAGTTGACTCAGCGGTAATTGAGTCTACTCTCAACACCAACTGACATTCATACTCGTTGTTGGACATCACTGCACACTAAAGTGCAAATCAAATAAACTAGCAATCGAAATTGACAACATTATCATGAACATGTTGCCTCATGTACAGTACATGTATGTACCTTTTCTTGCAACACTAATTACCGTATGGTCATTTCCTGTAACTGGGGTTTGAAGAGCCCTGTTTGATCTTGACATCTACTCTAGGAACAAGTCCGTGTACTGTGACAAGAGACTCTTAAGTAGTACTTGATACATAAACATGTACACGTAGATTGATTATCAATTAAATGTACGTTAAAAGTTACAGTTTTCTATCCAGTCTAAATATTCAAATTACTTTCAGAAAGCACACGAAAATGCCAAACAACTTCTTAAACCAAAACTCTCCAACATTCTACACACACAAAACTTTTTAAAAAGGGGGGAAATGGGGGAATGAAGATGGGCCTACTTGGTTTAGCCACAATGCCTAGGATGTTTGAGGAGGTACTGGTAAAGTACATTGGGATTGGAACCTTGGTGGAATTAACAACTGTGGTTGAGGTTACAAACGGATGACTTCCACTAAAAAGATGTTTTAATGCAAATAGATCCTCGTGACAATCTCATGTAAATGTACAATACCGGTACGGGTATACATGTGTAGGACCAGCAGCTGCTAACTGGTTTGATTTGATGGACCTCAGGCTTCTACACTATAGATTCAGGACTATTGATAGTCCTGAGTACTCACTCCAGGATGCACATTTTGATAGACCATGTAATTTCATAAATTAGGGCCACATTGTCGGAAAGACTTTTTAATTTTATTTTTCTACACAGCTTTCAGACGTCAGCGAGTAAAGAGTGCACAGTAAATTATGTGTACATGTATGTAAACTGTATGTATGTAGGTACATGTAAAGGGCATATTATAATAAAAATTGTTATGAAAATGTGGAAGTGAGTTATAAAACCGTAGAATGCCCCCTGTACTGTACCTACTGTACTGTATTCGCTCTTTGCATGCCACCGCCACAGGCATGCACAGCCTCGATCTGGCAGCTTCACACACTGAATATACATGCTGTAGCTCTTTCAGTGATTCGCATGTACCGGTATGTTGCTCAGTAATTCTGCGCATGCAGCGTTAGCTCTAAAACCATATGATTGGACAATATTTCAAAAGCTGCGTTGATGAAATTTTGATGTGACTGTACAAGCTACCAGATTGAGGCTCTGCATGCCTATGGTAGCAGCGTGCAAAGAGTTGATCGCATAAGTGGTACTCCCTCCAACCATAACACAATAACATGCAAATGTACAGAGTACACCTGTACACACGTAATCTCTACATCATGATGTACACAGGTAATCTGTTACGTACGTTCTCATGCACATTTGTGGGAAAGATGCATGCTTTTCAAATAATCCAAAGGATTGCAAATCATCAGCATGTACTGTACATGTAAACGAACGGTAAGCATTATCCAACCAGACTAATCCTGCATCCAAACTTCAAGGGATGCATATTTATCGGTACGGGACATGTCCTGGGAATGTACCAGCACAGCACTCAAACATTTGCTGTGCTTCATGCATGCACCCTCTGAATGGTATTCTTCCGTATAGCTTGTATCGGTAACTTGCCAAAACAAACACAAAACTTTTGAAAATGTTCCAACCAACTGTTGGACTGTGATAATGTAAAAGGTATGTTCCTGTAGAGTACCACCACGACCACCCTGGTAATGCAGACTTTCTACAGAATGTACATGTACTTGATACATGTACATCTACATGTAACTGAAGCATACTAGTACATATACATGTATACCAGTGGAGCAAAGAAGTCACTGGACAGATCAAAAAAACTTTTATCTCAATCATTTCCCAAAATTTTGGCAAACATGTTTAGTTTGAAACTTTCCAAAAAATAGTGCTCAGAAATCAGTGACCTGCACTTGTGAGCCGTCCCCATAATATTCATGTACACTTACTTGTACGAGTACCTTTCCATAATTTCCTTAGAATTACCATAAAACTATAAAAATCAAATAAGAAAACAATTACTGTAAATGAAATTTCACACCTATACTGGTGTGGGTATGTACATACACGTGTACATGTACACTGTACTGATCCATCACACATAAATAAAGTGGATGGTAGGACCAAACTGGCAGCTT